TATTACAACTTGTCATTGTGGAGCAGTTACACAGTGTTTGAGTTGTATGTGAGCTGGTGTGCTCGAGCTGTTGTGTGTCTGCGCATTCCAAATGAAGCAACTGAGTAGATTTACATCTGAGCTGTTTTAAGGGCAGGAACGGTTTATTTTCATGGATAAAACTTATAAATATCTCACTTTAATACAGTGAGATAAGCTTTTAGGGGTTTAATTCATGGCCAGAGAGAGTTTTCAAAAAAAAAAAAAGGCTATATAATTTCCTAAAACAGCCGTGCACTGTGATTTTAGCAAATAAAAATATTCAAACTAGAGGAAGTAGTGCATTATTATTATAGTTATTATAGTGTAGAGTTCAGAACAGCAGCAGCAGATTCATAAACGTTTGGTGATATAGTAACTGGGCCCTGGAAAGACTGTCATGTGGCGCTTCTCAGAAATGAAGATTGTGTCCTGTTGACTTTGTGTAGTTGTTGTGATTTGAATACAATAACTTCTTTCATCTTTCCTTGTAAACTTGAAAACATGCACACCACTTGTTTTTCTGACACACTTCATAACCTTGAATCTACACAGATCAGCTGCCATATGTGGGAAATGCCAGCGTACTTTAAAGCGAACTTCGATGTAACGCTGAATGTTAATAGGTTTATTAGTTTAATGGTAAATAGTACACACTTCTATAGCACTCAGCGAGGTTCTACAAGCACTTTACAATGTGTTTGTCATTTACATACTAATTCACACACCAGAGCTGCTGTGCAGGGCGCTTGGCTGCCATCAGGAGAAACTTTGGGTTCAGTGTCTTGCCCGAGGACACTTCGGCACAAGGAGGGGTCGAGGGTCGAGCCAACAACCTTGCAATTAGCGGACAATGTGCTCTACGGGCTTTTACAGCTGTCGGTCACACAGGTTTTCAAATATATGACTTAAAACTTTCTTGATTGGTAATAACTTTTAAGCAAAACATATTCAAGTTAAACTCAGCTAAGACTGTCTAAATACATTGGAGCCTAACAGGAGATGGTTTCCCTGCCGTCAGCTCCATCAGCGTGAGCCCTGATTACCCCACAAACATCACATCTCCTGTGATTAGATCAGCTCCGGCTCAGTCAGTCAGTCGGTGTTTATTTCTGTTTCAGACATGTTCTCACGTTTACACTCGTTCTAGAACCTATCTGCAGGAGCAAATGAGGCACGTTTTGTACTTGTGAACTAGGAGCTGCTTCTCTGGCGCGGTTTTAATGTGCGATCCTGAAAAGCATGAACACACGCTCCAACGGTTAATGTTGCCATGACAACAATGTCAATGATAGGGACATAGGCCTCATTAGTAGCGCATTCATCAGGGGACAGGATTGCTGCGGAGAATCTTCCCTGTATGTACACTGTGTTTGTTGATCAATAGAAAATGTATTTCTAATAAGGAATGCTGTTACATGTAACATGCTGTATGCGAGGAAGATGCTCGATAATGACTGACCAATCAAAGTCTGGCCTTGGACCGTGAGTCTCACATCTCTACACTGTTTTTGTGCTGTGATCCTATCTGCATCTGTATGTATCTGCCTATCAAAGATTCATACGTTTGTACCTTAATACCTGTAACTTTAATGCAGGTTTTGTTTTGTTTCTGACATGATGTCAGCCCTCTGACGTTAATCAGCTGCTTGATTCGTTGTGTTTCCTCTGAGTTTTGACACAATCTGATGCTCTCAAAAACTGAGAAACACCTGATTTTGTCGCATTTTGCAGGAGGAATTTACAGTGTCATAGCGCTCATGTATGACGTTAAAGAGCGGCGCTGCACGAAGGATGTTGAACTGCTTTTTGCATGTCCTGGCGATTGCAGTTTACATCCCCCCCTTGGCTGATGCTGCTGCAGCCATAGTTCAGTGTCCCAGCTGCAAACATCCCACCCTCAGTATCTGATCATCACTTTAACCATACATCAGTCTCTATTCAGCCAGTATGTGGACTGCCCAACCAGAGACGGTGGAGCCTTGGACCTGCTGTGTGCAGACATCAGGATGCATTTTACTTAATTATTGTCATTTTCTTTCTATATTTTTGGATGCTGCTGTGGCGTGTAAATTTCTCCCAATGGGGGATCAATAAAGTGTTCTATTCAATTCTATTCTATTCTAAGTGCACAGGACCATTGTTGATATCTAAAGGGTTGGTAGTGGTGTCAGGCATCACAATAAATTATTGTCATTATTGTCATGCCATGCCTCTTTTAGTCTTGTGGTGAGTGTGTGTGTGCGTCTGTGTGTGTGTGTGTGTGTGCGCGCGACTGCATTTTTTGTATGTGTATGTGTATGCATGGCGGGAGGGAGGGACGGGTTTACTTTATTTTTTAAATGTTGTAATGTTTTTAAATGCTTTGTTGTTTTTAAATGTTGTAAAGCACTTTGCGTTGTTGTTGTTGCACATGAAAAAAGCTATATAAATAAATTTTGATTGATTGATTGATCAAAAAGTTGAAAATCCGACCAAGCAAAAGCAAAAAGTGCATCAAATTTTAAAATGAAGCGGGAAAAGCTATTTGGACACTGACAAAAACATCAAATCCTGTTTGTAATGAGATGGCTTAGTAGTTCTACAGTATGTGGATATAATCTATATAAATGTGTGATATTGATCCATAAACCAGCATTACAAAGAGGCTTGTGTTAATATGTCAAGCTGGAGTTAATAAATTCTTTCATTAGCTTCATATCACTTCGTAGTAAAAAGGTCATTAAAGGGTGTACCAGAATAAAACAAGCATCCTGTTGATTTAGACTATTTCAACCCATTAATCACATCCCCTGTATCTAGCATTACCACAGACTACTTTCCAGTGTTTGCGTAGTCTTCAGATTAATTTCCTACCTTCAAGGCAGCCACTTATTATTTCAGAACAGTGAGAAAATCAAGTCTGAGGGACCTGCGAGTCGCGTGGTGCGAGAGGTAATCAATCACAGTAAACATTGCATCATGTATTGTTTGCAAACACCTGCTAATTGGAAAGCTTTCCTTGTTTGAAAGTACGAGAGTCGGCTTCTAAAAAACTTTGCATTTTACAAGCTTATGTTGTCAGAAAATCAAACGCGGAGGGAAAAAAAAAAGATGAGCAGTCATGGATGTGAAATGATGACAAGTGATTTAGGACTTTGTTTTATTATTTTCTGCCCTTTCTATTTATTGCAGCTGCCCGAATTAAAACGCTGCCGTTTCATGACAACACTAGCCTCCACATATAACAAGGACGGATCGGCCGACAGCTGGGCTCTGGATTGCATGAACTCGCTCTGCATGCTGAATCTGGGTCTTACCTCCATGACAGCCTTGGAGTGATCCCCCAGGCAGGGCAGGTCCTCTGTGGCCCCCAGACGCTGCACCGCCCAGGGCAGACTCTTCAGGACAGATGCAGCTCTCCTGAAGGCCAGGCACGGACCCTCTATCTCATTGAATTCATAGCTTTCTGCCAACACTTCGAATGCATCCTGCAGGGAGGGGGGAAGGTAGACAAGGACAGGAGGAGAATAGTGTGGGAGACGGAAAAACACACATTCCTACCTACAGATTGTAGAACAGGCATTTTAAGGCAAGTCTGTTGCAACGATCCCTAATTCTTTAACAACACGAAGGAGAAGAAAACAGAGAAGGCAAAGAAGTAAAAATGTGTCAGATGTGCATTCACATGTGAGACGCACTGACCCATAAAGGAAACCAGACAGGGGTAGGAGCTGCTTCCATTTCCTCCCCCCATCCCTCCTGTCCCTGTCACTGTCCCTGTACAGTAGGAGCTGCTGCATGTTGCTTTTCTTCTGGATGACCGGACAGAGACATTAGATGCTGGTGAACACCAGACAGGAACCTGTCATTTTCCACTTGTTCACAACAGGTTTCCCAGGGGACAGCAGCCGTGGACTTCCCCTTTTACAAACATGTTTCCTCATAACGGAGGATACAGTGGGGATCCTGAAAGGAGCTGAAGAATCTAGTAGAAAGCTCAGACTTTGTACGAGATTCAGAGCACACACCTATGAGAAATCCACACAATTCTCAAATAGTAAGTATCTCATATCGTGAAAATTGAATATTTTTTGTATTTCAATGTTTTATATGCTTCAAAGTGTAAAATAAAAGCTGTAAAAAAAACTGAAGATGCTCACTTCCACCCAGATCAGGTGAGAGAGTGTAAAGAGCAACAGAATCAGTACAGACAGCAGGATGTGGTGGTAGAATGGATCAGGCAGAGGACGTTACTGAAGGAAGTGGGGTATGAATCCCAAGAGAAGTCACGTATCATCGTGACTTTCTGATTGACTACTTTTGTCTGTTTGGAGGTCTGTGCTTGTCCAGTGGCTTTGGACATAGAGGGGAGAGTAATTACACATTTTGACATTTTTCCTGTTTTTCACATTTCCACATACTACAGCTTTAACCCTGTTCAGGACATTTGGGGTCTTTTGGACCTCAGGACGTTTGGTTTAGGGGACTTATACTATATTATAAATAACTTATACTGTATATATAACTTATCTTATTTTAAATTGAAATCTCTTCTATTTTATTTTTTGCTCTGTATTTTGTTCTTTATTCTATGTTGCACTGAAGGAGCTGCTCTTAATCTCATTGTACATGTGTATAGTGACAATAAAGGGATTCTATCTATCTATTAGGTATTGGTTTTTCATTTTGGAAGGTTTTTTTAAAATATAAAAAGAGGGATATTTGTCATACATTTGGAACCAAACATACGTCAACCTATCAGAAAATGTATTTAACATAATGTACGGTTCATAAATGAAGAATGATTTATGCTGAGTAAACATTGAACAGTAAAGTAAAATTTTACAGGAAAATATGTTAATTCATATGTTTAGGCTCATTTGTTAAAACAGATATTCATAGTGCTTACCTGAGTAACAGTTTACATTTGTGTTTGCAGAATTATTATTTACACATTTTAACGTTAATCTGTGAATCTGCTGTTTTATAGTGCGCTTGCATTTGCCGAGCTTGGTTCTGCTTCCTCCTGATTGGTTAGTTCGGTCAGGTGACGGGTTGTCAGTAAGTTGTTGTGGCCGCTGACATGTGAAGAGTAAAGATGGCTGTTTTGAGTAAGAAATCCGTCTCCATCCTGCTGTCTCATTATTACTCAGAGTGATCCATTAACCATCAACGAACCCTCACATTACAAAAGTAGAAAAGTCTATCAAATATTTTGCACATATTCTTTCTTGAAGTCCAATGGACCCCAAAAGACCTTCTACGTATGGCAACATGAAAGTCCTGAATAGGGTTAAATATTTCTGTTAATTAATGGAACAAATTTTGCTTACATCCATCCTTAACTTATTTACTTCAATTTCAGTTTGAGACCAGGAAAGGGGAACTAAAGATAAGGTACGAGTAAAGAACTTGACATCCACTCTTACAGCTTTGTACATTTCTTGCTGCTTTAAGGACTTGTTCCCAGCGTCACGCTCTGATTATGTTGGTTTTTGCTGGGTATGTTTTGCAGATTGAGCCATGACTTTTCTTGTGTTTGTTTAGTTTTGTTTGCTTTGTCTGTTGTTGGTTGGTTTGTCTTTTTCACTTTTGGGGTTTCTGTACAAATATCCTGCATAGAACTTGTGCTCACTACTACTTTTTACTTTATTCTGCTGTGTAATACACAAAGGAAATGTTTACATTGTTAATTCTCTTGTTTGGAAATTTAATAAAAAGATCATTGATTCAGGTGCAGATTTCATTGACTGATGCCGTGTTGTGATCAAATAAATACTGCTTAATATTGCTTAATAGAAGATCACATGATAGCATTACCCTAGCCATTCACTACATCAGGGGTCTCGAACTCCGGTCCTCGAGGGCCGCAATCCTGCAAGTTTTAGATGTTTCCTTCTTCCAACACACCTGATTCAAATGATCAGGATCATTATCAGGCTTCTGCAGAGCTTGATGATGAGCTGATCATTGAATCAGGTGTGTTGGAAGAAGGAAACATCTAAAACTTGCAGGATTGCGGCCCTCGAGGACCGGAGTTCGAGACCCCTGCACTACATAGTTGTCTCTTTGTCTCTCGTCAGCCTATGTTTGATTTGGTTCAAGTCTATCCCAGTAAGGAACAGACAAACAGACCAAACAATTCTTTCACTGCTGAGGGTTATTCTACATTATCCACATTCGAAATTCAAGCCTTTCATTGTTATTGCACTTCAAGAGCATGAAGTGAGAAAAAAAAAACTATTTAATTGAACAACTTCAGCGTCACACTCTCCAACAGCAGAATGCATTGGCACACAGCGGAACATTTGGCACCACGGTCAGCTTCACAGTTTGTACTCCTGCTGAAGCGATGAGCAACTATTGCAGAACCAAGCGGTGGAGAAATATGTCACACTGGAAGAACTGGACGCTTTCATGTGGGTCATGAGAAAACATTTTAAATGTCTCGTAACGTGATGAGACGCAATGAGACATGAAGAGCAGCAGGTGGGGTTTGTGACTAAAAAATACAGGAACTACCATTGTTTGGAAAAGGAAACACTCTTCTAGGAAAAAAAAAAAAAAGCTTTTGATTGAAGCAGGAGGGTCTCTGAAATAAGGTGTCGCTTAGTTTTCTTCTATTTAGCCATCAGCTTAAAAAGGAAACAATCAAAGAAGACATTACCGATAAATGGTTTGGAAAAAGTGCAGCACAGTAGCAGAATATCAAGCCCTCCTACTGAAAAAAAAGAGTAGTGTAGCACACCTAAAGTGTCATAGAAAAGTCATTTGAGACAATTATCACATTTCACTCATTTATAGAAGCGCATAACACGAAATGTGTTGCAGCAAATAAAATCCTCCGAGTATACTTCTTGCCAAAAACCCCACAGCATTGTCTGTTATGTGCTTCTAAATGATGGAAATGTGATAATTGCACTCTTCTTTTAAATTCTTCATGTGCTATCTCACTCAGCAGTTTTGATTTGTTGCACTTTTACTCAGTGCGCCTCCAACAACCAATCGTTTCAAAGGGTTTTTTTTTTTACGCTTCAAACAAGAAGTTACCCTCTTATCGTTTAAAGAAAACCTGTCACACAAGTCTTCCAACTTATCTCCACCTTGTTCGTTTAAATTGCTGTTTACTGATATGCAGCTGTTAAGTCACTTCTACGTATCAGTGATATAATAAACAACGACTGCAAGAACGTGCAAAACTGTGAGTGAGACTGAAATTTTAATTTGTCCACTGAAGGCCTATCAGCCACCACTCGCTGGATGTAGATCTAAGGACTGGGTTATGCTTTAACAGAACAAGTGAATACAATAGACAATGCTGCACACTTAACGTAACAGACACGGTTGTGTAAAGAGCGATGTTGAAAGAGGAGTTCAAACCCTGCAAACGTTTGCCCTTTTTTAGGCATGTGGTGTACACTGTAGACATGGTGTATGGGGGTATTGCTGTTGCAAAACTGTTTGTAAATGGAGAGTTGTGTGTCTGTAGCTCAGTCTGTGTGTTTGTAGTGAGATTTGCCAATGTGTACAAAGATTTGTCCAAAGATGTGTACAAAGATATTAATACATGAAAAGTCTCAGTATTTGGCTACAAGTGCTGGAAATACAGACCAATCACCAGCTATGAGTCAAGCGGGCCTCACAATCTTTTCACACATGACCGTTTCTTCACTTCTACCATGAGAGATTCATATCCGTGACTCCAGGGTTTATTTGCCCTGAGCTCAGACTCACAGGCCACACCATCAGGCGGTGCTATCCCCCCAGAGTCTTTGAGGACGCACGGCATTGTCTGGTACATGTGAACAAGTTAAATTTGTTGAATTTGTGGGTCGCTGAGCAAAAATTTTCATGATGGCTTGCAGGCGGCATAACTACTGAGGTACAGGACAGCAGAGTGGTACGCAGCCAGCATGAACGAGCCTGTGAGCCTGAGCTCAGGGCAAAGAAACCCTCAAGTTACCGATTTGAATCTTTCACAACAGAAGTGAAGCAAAAGTCATGTGTAAAAAGACAGTCAGTGGTGTCTGTATTTCCAGGTATTTAGCCAAATACTTAGACTTTTCATCTATCATCTTTTTACACGTTGACAAATCTTTTTACGCATTGACAAATCTCACTATAGATACACAACTCTCCATACACATTTACAAATAGTTTTGCTACAACAATATCCCCATAACAGTGTGTCTGACAAGTGACGTCAATGTGCCATAAATCTGCATTCTTTCCAACATCCAGCAGGAGGCGACTCTTCTGGTAACAAAAATAAGTGTGATTGTATAGCAGTCTACAAGAAAATGATCAGTAAACATTTTCCAAATGATCCAAAGGTCTCGATTCCGCATTTTAAGTCTTCTTCAACACAGCATGGTGTTGATTAAGTAAATTGCAGTTCCATCTAGAGTAAAACAGACAATAAAGCAGGGTATGCTTTATTGCTTTATACTCTGTGATTGACTGGACTCTACTGTAAGGTCATGCAACA